TGTGCTAGATGTCATGCTTCAGGAAGAAGAGGAAGCAGTAAAACATGGTCACTGTCCTCAGCTCAGAGTATATAGACAGACGATGAGCCACACACACAAGTTACAAGAATGGGAAGACAATGGGATCAGTGTCATAACAGCATTAGGAGGGTATCAGCAGCAGCTTTATGGAGGAAGTATCATTTGAAGTGGATCTTCAAGAATTTAGATGGGCAGAGGTAGCTGTTCAGGTAGGCTAGGGTCAGATGTTGGCAGAGTCATGAATTTCAGGCTCAGCTCATTGGACTATGGTAGGCCTCTGGCAGCTAGTAGTCATTTTTTTTTTTAATAGAGAGTGATAAAATTATGATGTGAATGGAGAGAAGATGGCATTAGAATACCTATTAGGAGACTATTATCATAGGCAGGTGAGAGATATGGAAGACCTGAAGTAGGGTTGTGACTGTGGGTACAGGAAGGGTCTGTACCTCCATGTTGGAGAGAGATTTGGGTTGTATTAGGTAGAACCTGCAAGAAGTCTCTACTGAGTAAATCTAAGAGTAGGTTTAAGGGAAGAAGGGAAAAGAGGAAGCAGTTAAGACTTCAGCCAGAGCGTGGGAATAACCACATGCCTTAATTTTCATATGTCAAGTGCCACTTCAAATATTAGACCTTAATTTTCAATTCCTTTGGATTATCTGTGTTATAATGTTGATTCAAAAAGTTAGGGTGACTCGGAAAATGATTGACATATTTAGTATTTTTAGGGATTATTTGCATTTCAGAAGAAGAGTTTGAATCAAGCAATTCTCCAGTAAGTAATCTATACTGTGGGGACTATTTCTTTCTTTCCTCTCTATCATCCTACTCTTTGTGGAGTAAAATACAACATAGAATCATTCTTCAGTTGCTCATGCATTCCTCTGCCTCATCACTTGTCCCAGCCAGATGCCCTATTTTTCTGTACACAAAGGACATAAAATATTTCTTTTATTTTCTCTCGTCATAGTTTGTGGATAAGATATCCTACTGCTCTTTTAAAAAGTTGTGTATCATATACTAGGTAATTACATTAAAAGGAAATGAAAAGAGCATCTTCATAAATGTTGCTATTAACAAGGTTCCAGACCTGAGTGTTTATGTAAATTCTTCCATTTGCCATTCAGCCATATGGGTTTTTAGATAAAAGTGAGGCTGCCGTCAGAGTCATTTTCAGGGGGGGAATACTACTAATAGAGGAAATTTGTTTCCTGCCAGCAATGCAGTAGGGTAACTGTCAGCAGTTTGCTAAATAATCAGCTGAGCCTGACATGTTGTTTTTGTAGCTTTTGTATGAGTATTTTTAAGGAAAAATATAATGTCCTGCTATGTTGTGTTTCTTTGGTGTGAGACTGACTTCACAGATAGATATCTGCAGTCTCTGTTGAATTCTCCCCATCCTTGGAAATTTGAAGACTTTTCTGGTGGCTGGTAGAGAATTCTCTATATGTTGTTCTTCCCAAGCTTTAGCAATCCTTGCTCATTCTATGTCTGTCCACAGGGTACTGCATGATGGTTAGTATTGCTGACATGCAACTCACAAGACTCCAAACTACCTTATGCAAAATTAAAAAAAAATCTTTCAAGTCACATTATTCCACAGATTCTGTGTTAGATACAAAAAGCAAGATGCCTGGCACATACCAGATTTACAGGTTTTTTGCAGTATCTCCATTTTTACTGATGAGGAAATCTAGGCTCAGGAAGCTGAAGTTACATATATGTGGTCACACAGCTAGCACCGGATGTAAGATTCAACCTAGGTATGCGTTACTCCAAATTTGATCATCTTCCTGCACTGTAGTAATCTGCTACTATTAGTGCAATTGAAATTCAGAGAAGCAACTTGTTATGGATTAGAATAATCATTATGGAATGGAATAATAAAAAATAGGAAACAAGGGATAGATAAGAGAGGATCAGACCCTAGAGGCAGGTAGTGATAAAATACTGCTACTGCTACTACTACTAATGCTAAACGTTTGAACACTTTCCATATATTAGGTACTGTCTAATATATTAAGTTGTTCACTTCTCATGACAACCCTTTGAAGTAGGGACAGATATTTTATGTTATTTTATTTTATTTTATTTTTAACCCACTCCCCCCAGTTATTTCATTTTATAGTTGGGGAAACCTGGAGGGAACATGGAGGTTACCGATCTTGCCAAGGTCACAGATGAGAACTGGGGCAGTTTGCAGTTTGATTCCAGAGCCTGTGATATGGAGCATTGAACAGGAAGTAGAAAATCAAGGGGGCATGCTTCAGGGCTGAATACAGCAGATGTGAAAAAATGGAAAAAGGAAATTGTATGTAGGGTTGGGGTGGGTGTGGGAGAGGGACGTAGGTTTGGGAGTGCTGTGCACCAATTAATGTCTGAAGCCCTGAGAGGGGTGAGGTCAAAGGAGAGGTAAATGCAGACAAAGACCAAGAGGTGACAGCTTTCAGGGATTCTCACAGTTTCTCCAACGGGAGAAGGGAGAGAGGTACTAGGCAGAGATGGAGAAGAGGAGAAGGAGGGATAGACAATTCAAGGAAGAAGGGATTGAGGATGAGGGCCCGTATCAATGTGCCCGAGACTTCATGGATGTGGATAACTTTAAATTAAATCTACTACCTTCTCTGTGCTTTTGTGTTTTATGGTATTTCTCCCTTCTTATTGATGAACTCTTGCCTTCTGTTATGTTTTTAGCACTTTTAATTTTTTTATAGCTCAAGGGGAATAGGAATGATTATTATATTAACATTATTAATACAAATGCTTTCTAATATTATACATACTTCAGAAAAAAAATAGCTAGTCTTCTGAGTTGAATGGTATGAAGACACGCAACTTTTGGTGCTAAATTCTAATCCTGTTTATTGCTTGCTAAAGAGACCTTACTGGTATCATGTTAGAGTGTTCTAACTTATAAGACACCATAGAATTAGAAGAGATTTGACAAGTGACATTTTAAAATAAGCCATTTCATCGTGTTTTCACCAGTTTGGGAACTTGTAGTAAAATCTTGTTACCTACCTACTGAGGTCTTCTGACTGGTTCTCAGGACACTCTAAGCTTGGCCCCTCTACCTGTCCAGCTTTGCTTTCTCTGACACAGATGCTCACTTCCGTGACACCTGGTGAGGTGTCCTTACTGTGCCTTCTAATATTCTGCTTTCCTGTCTCTCTCTTTATCTGTTCAAACTGAATCTTTCAAAACCCAGGCAGTGTAAGTCTCACCTGCACTATGAATTCTCCTCTGACTGCTTCATTGATTTCTTCGTGCCCTTGATATCTTTTGTGTATGTTGTCAATACTATGTATTTTAATACTTGACCATTTTGATGCATATTAAAATGGCAAAAAAAAAAAGCCAAAACAACAATAACAACAAAAAATCTGACTTCATAAAAGGACATAGTATTAATAGTTTTAGTTTTATTACAATATCCCCGGGTATGGATGAGATTTAGGAAATAAATTGGGGATTTGTGAATTTTGTTGTTTATTAAGGAATAATTTTCTTGCCAGGTGAAGGGATACACATGTAGCATTACTTTTAAAAGGAAGTTCTAGCAACTACTACTAAGGTTATACAACCTACCTCATTATTCTTAGTCTCCATTTATTTAGGAATCTTAAATGCTAGTATTGGTTTTTGACATATATTGAGGATTGCTACTGTTTTTTAGAGAGTTCATTAGAATAATTAAGGAGTTTTCATAAGGCATGAGTTGTTTTCTGACGTTGCCGCAGGGCTGTTCTAATAGTAATCCTTATTATTTCGGACTTGATTAGGCATTTTATTCAGCACAGAAATCCTACTCTTGTTAGATATAACAGGACGATGAGTGGATTTATTTCTGTGTCCTAGAATTTCAGCTAATTCTCAAAGTGGAGAGCAAAGGGCATTAAATACTCCACATTGTAAGGACATTTGCCAGCAGCCCTAGGGGAAGAGGTACCTTCCCACCTCCAGAACCTGTCCTATCACCATCAACCTCCACTTCACTCTGGACGGCTGGCTAAGTGGACCTCCAGCTGGGGAATGCAATGCCTGGTTCCTCTTGGTGACACCTGCAGTCCCTTTCATTTTCTTGGTTCAGGGAGGAAAGCAGCTCACCCTCAGTACTGCGTCCTTACTCAAGGCAGGCCCCCATCAAGTACTCCGTGCTATCCCCAGTCCTTTTCATATAGGATTGGAGGCTGGGGAGGCGAGGGGTCTGTGGAAGTTGGGCTAACTCTGGTATTTCTTAGCAAGTCATGAGGGGAGATGGGCCACACCTCTCTCTAATGTGTCAACCTTGTCTACACTTTAGAATCCTCTAAGGAGCTGAGGCCCAAGTTGCACCCTAAACCAGTCAAGTTAAAATCTCTTTTTGTGGGACTTTGGCATCAGTAGCTTTGAAAACTCCTCCAGATGGTTCCAATAAGTAGCCAAGATTGAGAACTGCTGCTGCTAAATATTCGGAGTTGGGGGCAGAGTGGAAGGAAGGGTATTTGGGGCCTTTATACCGCAGATTTAGTCTTAGCCAAAATTCTTTTAAAACGGAAAATATCCCACTCAGTATCTTACTAAATAAACAATTAAAAATGAAATTAAGGTTGTAGTCTAATCTGTTTTGTTCTATAGCATAATGCTATGTTTACCTTTAAGTCAAGGAAGAATCAACATTATACTTGGACTTTTCCTGAATAGTAAAATGTATAGTAAGGTGAAAAGAAGATTAGTATGTCTTATCTGCCATCTTAAAAACTGCATTTTACTGTCGTACAGTAAATGAGTTATATCCTAGCAATATCACTGCAATGAGCTAATAATAGACACCCAAATCCTGAGAAGTCATATATAATAAAGAGTCTCATTCTAGCAAATTCTCTCTTCTATGAGCCTGTTCTCACAATTTGTCTTAAGAATTCAGCTATTTCCATTAGGAACGCATGTGCTTCTTGAAGGCACAATTTCACTTGCTTTCTCATTTAATTGGTTTTCCACAGCTCAAGAAATGGCTGCCCAGTGTGTCACGAAGGTGGAGCTGAACGTTTCCTGTAGCAATCTTATGGATACAGATGTAGGGTCAAAGTCAGACCCTTTATGTGTATTATTTCTGAATACAAGTGGTCAACAGTGGTATGAGGTAATATTAAATACTTCAGGTGACAAGTAATCTGAATTGCTCTTTTAACAATGTGAAGAGTTTTTTAAAAAATGTTAAAAATAATAACACCATCTCCTGTGTTAATGCAGTTTTTTGAGAAAGTTTGTCCTTGATTGTAGAATTCTTCCTACACGTATAGAAACTTCTTTTAGTTGTCATGCCTATATTTATTTATGTTTAGTACATAAAGATGTTAGAATCCAAGTGCACCTTTGATCTGAAGAAACTTTTTTGTTTTGGGGGGTGGGTGTAGGTTGAACGCACAGAAAAGATTAAGAATTGCTTGAATCCCAAATTTTCCAAGACATTTATTATTGATTACTACTTTGAAGTTGTTCAGAAATTGAAATTTGGGGTTTATGACATCGACAACAAAACTATTGAGCTGAGTGATGATGACTTCTTAGGAGAATGTGAATGTACTCTTGGACAAGTGAGTATACATAGCCACTATCTTTATTTTGTCTAAAATTTTAACCAATGAATTGGGTATTTTTGATGAGTGTTCATTCATTTAATTTTTGAAATTGAAAAACATGTAATTGCTTTAAAGACTGAGCTCATATATGTGTATTAATATGGTTGGCTTGAACATTATGCAATTTATCTTATTTTATGAAAGGGCAGGAATCATGCATTTCTGGCAAAGCCTGTTAATTCTTTTGAGTAAGGATGCTTCATTGAACATTTTAATAGATAATACCTCTGCTCTAGCTGCTGCAGAGTTCAGTACAATTTTGTTATGCTCAAGTCATCAATGCAGTCAAAGTAACCACAACTTCTCTGATGTTCTAACTGGCATAACTTGTCCCTCTTGACTACCGATGCCTCAACACCACCCCTTACCTGGCTTGTTCTTGATACAGCCTAAGGTATATCAGTTCCTCACTCTCCCCATAAACCTTCTCTGACCCCCTAGACTAGTTTGGAGTCCTTCCCTGAGCTCACTTGGCACTCTCTACTGCTTCTTACCTAATTTTTTTTATAGTTGCTTAATTACCTGCCTTCCCAGTATATGACAGGCTTGGTCAGGGTAGGGGAATGTCCTGTGGCTCACTGTTTTGCTCCTTGTTTAGTCTGATTTATGAGGAGAGATCATGACTATCTGTATAGATGGGAGAAGGCTTCACAGGAAGGAGGAGTCATTTTCCTCAGTGGGTGATGTTTATCACTTAAATTTGTCTTTGACAAGTTTATTTTTCAGGGTTGAATTATTTGGAGGTCATGGTATTTTCTAAGTCTCAAGAGCAATATGGAACTAATCAGTTTTCTAAAACTTTGATAAATAGTATCAAAGAAAAAATTAAAGAAGATTTTTTTTGGAAAAAA